GACAAGCTAGGAACCAAAACAACAAAGCAATAAACTGTGCAATTTCCCGGGACTTCGACTTCGTCTTCGACCTCGACTTCGTGCAATATCTTTCTTATAGATTTATATTAGAAGAACAATTGAAAAAGTCGGCAAATCAAATCTTGAGTCCTCCTCACTAGTCAAAAGAAAAAACCCAAAGGAACCCATTTTCTTTCGCATTTTTTTCAAGTGTGTGCCACGAGTGTCTGACTATAAGCCATACGCCTCTATATCCTATATAGTTTGGGTATATATATATCTATCTATACATATATATATATATATATATATATATATATATATATAGTTGGGAGGTCCTTTTAGACAAAGGAGCGTGCAAGCAGGACAGCAAACAACAGAGAAGGAAAATCAGCAGCAGGAGAAGCAGAAGCGAGAGCGAGAGCCAGCTAGCGAGTCGATGCGAAAGTTTACTTTTTGTGCAATCAATATATACATCTACACATCTACATCTATATAATATATAAAGTACCCGTATCCCTTCCTCCGCTGTATAACAGTGCCACTACTCGACCGATTTTTTGATTCCGTAGCCGCATCCGTAGCCGTATCCAGCGCACGTAAGTTGTAATGCCATGATCTAATCGGTCTTATCACATTGTCTCCCCTCAAGTACAACATTTATTTATTTTTGACTTGGACACCAAGAAAAAAGCCGAATGGCGGAAAGTAAATCGATAAAATTTCCATGACATTTATTTGTTTTTCCTTTGGCTGGCAATTACAAGGACTCCCTCACAAGCTATTTCAGGAATAGAATAAATTGTATGGCGAATAAGCTTTGCAGGCGGTGTTTACTTATATCTAGATATATCTATATAGAAAATCTGCCCAAGAATAGTTCAAAGTTACCTCAAAACTATTTTAAAACCAAAGAAAGCTTGTTTATTTCCCTATGAAGTGTTTCAAACCTCATAATGCAGTTCAGATAAGTTTAAGAACTAAAAAACTGAAGATAAGGGAAGACGATATTTTAGTATTACAAATAGGAAATAAAGTGTTGTAAAAATTTAATCATTTGCAATTTAATGGTATTGGAAAACACCCAATGGGTATGCCAATAAAAATACAAAACACAAGAAAACAAAACGCATTTGCCGTATGTGCCAGTGGGAACCTCCTCATATCCTGAGATGCACGCGTATCCTGACCCTCCTCAAGGACCTCGACGACACACATTCGCAAATGAGGTCACAGATATCGGCGCAAGAGTGTCAATTACACATTTTTTCTCGCTTCTCCTTTTGGCCGTCTTCGTCTTTTGACACACACACATATATATATATATATATATACATAGGCAGCAGGGGGTTAAGGGAGAGGCCTGGGGCTTAAGGGGGTTGCTGGTGCAATTAAAAGGATGTCCCCGCCGCAGATCCTGCAGCCTTTCGGGCGTGCACTGCCCCACCTCATTGCAATTTCACAACGTTTCCTTTTCTTTTGCGGCACCTTTTGTGCCCAGCAGGTCTTACCTTGGTACACAGTAAGAAAAGAGAAAGCAGTTTGTGTTTCTTTAAGGCATCCCTTAGTGATTCATTAGGGAAAGTATAAAGTATTTGTATTTATGAGTATTTTTTGTGTATCTTTTTCTTCCACAAAAAAATGGCTTTGTATGTGTGGAAAAGGTGGAAGGCATCAGTGGATTTCCTTAGAAGGGACGTCTACTCGACGATGGGCTGCACATCCTCGGGCTGCACCTCTTCGGGCTGAACCTCGACTCCCTCGACCTCCTCCTCTAAATCGTCAAAACTATCCTCTACGACAATAACATACATTTCCAATGGAGCGGAAGAGGTCATCATCTGGTTAGAGGTCAGGTCGTTGATGGTCTGCATCTGTGCTTACAAATATAAAAATATTAATATAAAGTACAACACGAGTACATATTTCAGTTAAATACTAAGCAAACTTACGGCTGACAATGGAGAATAATTATTTTTATTTGAAAGTTAAAACGATTTGTTCGAGAATTGGTAGAGGAAAGAAAATTTTCTTTGACAGTTGGACAAAAACAAAAAGTTTAAGAGTGTGTCTTTAGTAATTTTTTTCAAAATATTAAATACTGTAATTGAGTATTTTTTTTGTCCTTTTTCCAAAAATACAAGATAAGGTCAGTCTTGGCCTTTTTTAAGTTTTAAGTTTTCTAGCAAAAAAAAAAAAAAATTGTTTACAAATAAGTCTCATGTCTGGTTTTGCTAAGTGCATTTGCCTTTACTGGAACTTTTCTGACACCTTTTCCTTCAACTGGGTTCAATGAACGCAGGAACAGCTGTTGGGTAGGGACCAGGACCAAGGACCAAGGACCGCCTTTGACTTGCCATGATCCTGGCATAGGCCACAAAAAGGCAAGCGTAGTGGGAAAATGTGGCAGGGATACGGGCGGAAAACTGGAAAAACCCCAAACGGGAACACAAAACACACATACAGGAGGGTTCAATGACCGAATGGGACAGGACATTATGGCAGGACCGGACGGTTTGTTTGTTTTTCGCGTCAGGTTTTTACCCTATTTTCAATGCAGTCCTTTTCACACACCAACACACAGGGCACAGGATCTAGGAAGTCCTCTTCTTGCCCTTTTGCAACCCCTAAACGAATGAATTTCCAATTAGAAGCATTTCAAAAATTAACACAAGCTTGGAATAGGAGATTCCAAGTCAACAAAAAATGATTTTTTTAAATGTAAAAATAACTTTTTTGTATAAAATTCGTATCCTTCTTTTTAAATATACGAAGAAACCTAGCAATTTCTACAGAAAAATCTTTTAAAAAATTTAAAATAACCATTTAAAAGTTATAAGAATTTCGCAAATGTTTGCTTTTATTCTTAAAACCTTCCCTTTTGTTGTTTAGCTAGACATAAGTTACTATTTGACACGTATATTCTTTTTGTTTTGCTTAATGCGATTTGGTTTCTCCGATTTCCTTGCCAATTTCCAGCATTTCCATTGTTAGCAGCAAACGATTCCGAGGGAGGTTGAGGAAGCAGCACTAAATGTCGCTTATGCGGGGTTAGCATCCTTCGATTCATATCATATATCAAGCTATTACACATGGGATTTTGTGTCGTACAGCGATTTAATTAAATTCCAAGTCATTAGGCGACATTGAGAGAATATGTGTGCATATATACATATGTATTTTTTAAAAAGGCTAAGCAAAAAAATACAGCCGGATCCCATTGTTGTTTGATAAACAGATTTTCGGCATTGACTTACCCTTGTATCTGTGTGGGTTTAAGGGGTGCTCCTGCTCCTGTTCCTGTTCCTGTTCCTGCTTCTCCTTTTGCTGCTGAAGGTTTCAATTGTAGCAACTGTGGTGGTGACTGGCGTCATTACTCCGGGGAGCGAATCGTGTGTAAAATGCGCTTATCAAGCATTTTTTCTTTGGTGCTTATCAGAGTTTGTTCTCCATAAGGTGACAATCCTGGATATAGACAAGGTTAACGATATGTCAGCACTATTTAGTTGATTAGTCGATAAAATACATCCTTACTAGCGATAGATTTGCTCAAAAGTATCGTATTTAAAAAATAGAACTACACTTTTAAATTAGATTTAAGTGCGATTTGTCAGATAATTCTATAGTATGAAATAACGCTGAGAATATTGTAATTAAGGAGTTATTATTTTAGTAGCTTTCAATCAATGTTAAAAGGATAAATCCACAAAAATCTGAGAACAAATTTTGTCCAAATTTATAATTTAAATATAAATTAATAATATATTTTAAAAGAAGTATAATTTTTTCTCTTTTCCGTTACAGATTGAGTGAAATAGAGCGAGCAATCGAACAGCCATCATTTATCAGAAAAAGATACGGATCCTTGGAGGACACGAGGGAGATTTTTAAAATTGCAAAGAAATAGAGGAAAACCGAAGACGAGGAAAGAGGTAATGAGTAAAGGAGTTAAGAAGAAGGAGAAGCAAACAAAAAACCAAACACCACCAAATAAAACCAACTACTATTAATTTAAAACAAACATTAACGAATAATCATATTCAAGCGGTATATATACAAGAGGTTAACGGATAACTCAACTAACAATATATATATATGTATATGTATATATATATACGATATATGAATGTATATTGGAAAACCAAAGCTAAGTTCCACTAAAAGAAGTAAACAACCAAAAACAAAAACCATCGCAAATTTAGTAAAAGTATAAAATAAATAAGGAGAAAATTATTGCTAACTTTTTGCATTTTTGCAATTTTATAAAAAAAACTTATAAAGAAAACGAAAACAGAAAAAAACAAAACCCAAGAACTACAACTATAAATCTCACAATAAAGATTTACTAAAAACAAAGAAACATTAAACATTCCGAGAAAAGAAACACCCATTTAGCAAAATTTACTCTTTTATCTAAAAAGAAAACAAAAAAGGAAGACAAACACAAAACCAAAAACAAAAACATAAAATCAAAGAGAAAAATCCTAATTCAAGCATAAATTAAATTTTAAACGTTTTAGACCAGAGAAAACGATCTAAACTTATAACTTAAATAAAAAGCAAATACATTTTTTCGCGATCGTAGTGGATCTAAAACCCAACATAAACAAAAATTAAGAAAGGAATTCGCGAAGGGACTTGTGCAAAGCAACTAGATCCTCATTAAAAAATATTTAAAAATATATAAAAACGATAAGGAGCAGGTCCTTGTAACCAACCGAGCAGTGAGATTAAATACTAAAAAAACATACAAAAGAAAACCCAACCCAACCGACGCGACGGAGCTGTCAGGACCACAACCAGAGCCAGGATCGGTACAGGAGCTGGAGCAGCAGTTAGACCAGGAGCTGGATCGGCAGCTGGAACTGGAGCTGGAGCAGGAACTGCAGCAAGAGCTGGCGCAGGACCAGGACCAGGAGCAGGAGCAGGAGCTGGAGCAGGCGCAAGTGCAGGACCAGGACCAGGACCAAGACCAGGACCAGGACCCTGAGCAGCAGCAGCAGCAGCAGCAACAGCAAGAGCAAGAGCAGGAGCAGGAACAGGACAAGATCAGGATGACCAACGCCATGGATATTGTAAAGAATGGCAGTGCCAATGGGTCCGTCGACGGCAGCAATGATGAGTCGCGCACCAATTTGATTGTCAACTATCTGCCGCAAACCATGACGCAGGAGGAGATGCGATCGCTCTTCTCCAGCATCGGTGAGCTCGAGAGTTGCAAACTGGTGCGTGATAAAGTCTCAGGTAATTTGGGTAAATATTGACCAATTTTATTCCTAGTTACTACTGCCACTACTACTATTTTTTCTTTCTGTACCATATTAATGTTTCTGTTTTCATAGTTGATCGATATTTTAACATTGCATAGCCTTAAAATTGTAGAGTCTATAATAAATTCAATTCTAATAATGATTAAAAGTACAATAGATAAAAATACATAAACTATCAATATTTTACAATTAAATGCAATATTTTTGTTATTCAAAACAAGCATATATTAAAAATATAATAATATATATTTGATTTATCATATTAAGTGGAATATTCCAAAGTATTATTCTTTTAGTCAAAAGCTTAAAACATAGTGAAGGAGTCATTTTCGATCTATAATAACAATCTATATATATTCTTGATCAGCATTAACAGGCGAATCTTTCTAGGCATGTAGGAAAGAAAAATTGTTTTTTTTTTGCAATTTTTTCGAAAATTTATAAGGGGTTACATCGCTAAAATTGTAAAAAAATTACATTTTTTATGGAGTATGCAGTTTTTTACCCTTGTAAAAAATAACACAGTACAGCTTTCGGTTCTACATTTAATGCTTTTTTGGCTTAGTTATGAGATTTAAAAAATTGTGATGTGTCGAAAAAATTGAGAATATTTTAAGATTAGTTATGATCAATTTCCCATACGATCTTTTAATTCAATTGCAAACTTAAAGGGCATATAAACTTTAAATTCTTCACTCGCTGTAGATCCTAATTTTTAAATATATCACACAAGATTTATTTGATATTCAATACAAAATCATTAACAAGGCTTGCTTTCTTCACTAATAACCTAAATTTCTTTTTCATCCCTTTATTGCAGTCTTACCAGCATCGCTGACGGCTCTCAATCCGGCACTGCAGCAAGGTAAGAGTAAGCACACAATTCACCCCCCGAAAAACCATTACTTAATTACTAATTATTATAAATAATTAATATAGGCCAGAGCCTGGGCTATGGCTTTGTTAACTACGTGCGGGCCGAGGATGCTGAGAAGGCTGTGAACACCCTGAACGGTTTGCGTTTGCAGAATAAGGTTATTAAAGTATCATACGCCCGTCCAAGCTCAGAATCTATTAAGGGTGCTAATTTATATGTATCGGGTCTTCCGAAAAATCTATCACAACCAGACTTGGAGGGGATGTTTGCATCGTTCGGCAAAATAATAACATCTCGTATACTCTGTGATAATATTTCTGGTGAGCTTGAAAGACTAACATAATTTAATATAATTGTTTCTTATTTAATGTGTACATTTTATATATATTATATTAGGTCTATCGAAGGGCGTCGGCTTTATACGCTTCGATCAGCGCAATGAGGCCGAGCGGGCCATCCAGGAGTTGAATGGCAAGACACCCAAGGGCTATGCCGAGCCGATCACTGTGAAGTTTGCTAATAATCCCAGCAATAGCGCCAAGGCCCAGATAGCCCCGCCCCTGACCGCCTACTTGACTCCGCAGGCGGCGGCGGCCACCAGGAGACTGGCCGGAGCTCTACCCTCCGCCGGTCGCATAAGGTTTGTCTATATATAATTTGGTTAACCCTTTCATGTTTAGAAATAAGAAGTTGTGCGAGCTATAAGGTATATAATATATCTAATTATATGTCCGTCTGAGAATGTCGAACCTTACTTTGAATTTTAATTATAAATTTTAATTGATTTAATGAGAGATATTATAATTAAAAGAAAATTTATGACACTCGCTAGCACTAAGATGCTGGAGCGGAGGAAAGTATGCTATGGTTTTGACGAGCTTATACTTGCGCGCTTTGTCGTCCGATTTTATTTTCAATATCTCAGGATTTTTCTTAACTTTTCGTTCTCTTGCTTTGTGATAAAAATTAAATCAGTATTTATATGTATTTATAATAAGTACTAATTTTACTAAAAAGAAATATATAACTTCATCTTCTACTTTGATTCTGTTGGTATGTGTACGTATCCTTTGCTGTTCTGTTTTGACTAATTTAATTGTATTTAATTGTATCCAAACCATATTTTGGTTCTCTTCTTTTTTGTCCTTCTTTTTTGAAAAACAAAAAAACAAACAAAAAACACATTTTGTCATCATTTTTAGCTTTGGAAAGAGTCCCATGTTAGCGATTAACAAGGGCCTAAGAAGGTGAATTTTTCTTTAACTTTAATTATTTGACACGCTCCATATTCTTTGACAACATATTATATATTATATATGCAAACTGTTGTTTTATTCATTTACCATATATTTAATTTGACTGAATTCTGAAGAATATATATATATATATATATATATATATATATATAAGTGTCTATCGTTAATGTTTAAACATATAACTCACATTTGTGTATAGTTCAATTCCTTAAATTAGTATTTCCAAAAACTATTTGGCTTAATGTTGATTTTGTTTGCATGTGAGAGTTATGTATTTAGTATAATTTATTTATTTATTTCTTTTAAGTATCCTTAAAGTATCCTCCTAAATCTTCCCCCATTTTAAATTATTTCATGTATATTTTATATTTATTATCCTTCGATTCTTAGTTTGTTGATTAACACGATTATATGTTTGTCTTGCCTTCAATCTGTTTAACAATTAAATTAAATACTAAATGCATTTTAATTTCTAAATAAAGGAAAGACATTTGTTTTTTTGTTTCGGTGTACTAAGCATGTACCTCATAAATAATACAAACAAATAAAACCCCCAGAGATAATCAAGCTTACCATCTCTAGATAAGTATAAAAAAGGAGGGGACTGTACCTTACCTAAAATGGGGAAAGAGAGTACCCGTTAAAAAATCACATTGATGTAAATAAAGAAAGTGCCCCAAGTACGATTTATTAATTATATTCTTTTGATACATTTCCCAATAGATACTCACCGCTGGCCGGGGATCTGTTGGCCAATTCGATCCTGCCCGGAAACGCAATGACCGGATCCGGATGGTGCATATTCGTGTACAACCTGGCACCGGAAACCGAAGAGAATGTCCTGTGGCAGCTATTCGGTCCCTTCGGGGCCGTGCAATCGGTGAAGGTGATCCGTGATCTGCAGACCAGCAAGTGCAAGGGATTCGGCTTTGTAACCATGACCAATTACGATGAGGCCGTAGTGGCTATCCAGTCCCTCAACGGCTACACCCTGGGCAACCGAGTGCTTCAGGTCAGCTTTAAGACCAACAAGACCAAGACCACTTAGGCACCACCGCCATTCGGGAGGATGGTTCAGCGACCTCTACAATACTCCATGATCTGTATGATTTGATGACACTAGTCTAGTTCTACTACCGACGAAACGAAACGAAACGAAAGACGATACGATACGAGATTGATTTGCTAAACGCGTTGTAGTCAAAATTGCACATTAATTAACGACGAGTGGGAGGAGTTAGCGGGATTTGAAGATCAGGGGTCAGGGATTTTGAATCGCCTGAATAGGCAGCGATTTCTATCTTTTTGAGTAATTCGCTTAATTGGTAATTGATAATATGTGAACTTTAAATGAAACAATCACTGCATATTTATAAACTTCTGCTCAAGCGATTTGAATGACCTTCCAGATTTTTATGCGCTAAATGAAATTATTATGATTGTAATTCTAACGAAATCTTAGTGAAAATTGATTTATGTTTTCCTATACAATTTATTTTTATTAACTTAAACCTAAACCAAAAACAAAGCTTAAATGAGGCAACCAGAAAAACACACACAACTGCAACTAATGGCAAATTTAGAAAAAAAAAGAAACAAGACAACTGTCTATAAATTGACAAAAATGAAATGAATATTGAAAACAAAAACAAAACAAAAAACGAAAAACGAATGAATTAAAACAACAAAAAAACGCAAAAATATGAATGAAGATGAAGAGATAGAAGGTGAAGAACGAGATAGAAAGAGAAAAGATTAAAAGAAAATGATCTAAGTCGCAATATATAGTAACTATGTTTTTTTTTTAACTTATGAATATGTAATTCAATTCCATTATATTCAATTAAACAGAGTATTTAAAGAAGCTAACCAAATGATTTAATGTCTATTGATTTAAGCTAAACCCAAACAATTTACAAAACCTTAATATCTCTCTCTCTCAGCTTACCTTAGTACTTATTATAATAAATATGCATAAATATATTGTATTGTATTGTATTTTGTGTTCGTTTTGCAAAGATGACCTAACCATTACCATTACCTTACCTTACATTAATTCTAGTGCTCGAATTTGTATTCAGCTCTTATATTTAATTCGATTCGCATTGATTGCCACTCGAAGACGAATCGAAGCGATGCGAAAAATCGATGTTAAAGCCGCGATACATCCTCCAAAAAAACGCAACAAGATCAAGAGAACAAATGAAACAATGGCACCAAAACTCACACTCGCAGACAAAGAGATTATCCACATACTTATGTAGTTTATTATACATTTTATTAAACACCTAAACATAAATACATAATTATTAATCCTTCTTTCCGTCGTCTTAGAGGGGGAGGATGAGTGTATACTCAATATTCGTATTCGCATTCGTATTCGTCAAGTGCAAACCAAAGTAATCACGAAAACCAAGAAAACTTATTATATTATATTAAATTATATATTATTATGCCTACTTATTATTCCATTTTTATAATTATTATAACTTATTAAACGCAACCAAGTAAAACCACAAAAAAAGACAAAAAACGACAGTAATAACTACAACTAAAAATATATATTTATTATTAAATAAATGTGTGACTTATTCCAAAAACTATGCAAAAAAAGAAGAAAAAAAAAAACACAAAAAACTAAAACACAAAAATTTGTTTTCTTATTTTTCCCTCACTCACACACACACACACATACCCATAGCCACAACCATCTGATAAATTGGCAATATTGCAGGCAAAGCGCTTGCACAGTTGAAGTGAAGCATTATTGGATCGGATCAAAGACATATATCCAAAAATATGGCAAAAACTATGGGAACTTCAGCCTTGAAAGTCATAACAAACACACAAACACACCCAGAACACACAACAACAGCACTCGCATTTATACAACAAAAGATATATTTGAGAATACAAACCAAGTTTAAGTTTTACGCATATATATAACTATACATATATCTAACCAGACGAACTATGTATATCAACTCGAACCAAGAGAGCAGCCTAGTTGCCCTTTTTTATTCGATTTTCCATTTAAATACTCTATAGTTTATGCCCAAGATCATTTTAGTAGCGTCTACTAACTAACAGTCAATGTGTGTGTGTCTGTAGTTTAACTGACGAAAGCCGAAGAATATTTTTTAAAAGCGTAACCCCTTCTTTTTGTTGGCGAATTTAGTGTGCTTATGGGGTCAGGCCACATCTACATGGCAACCATGGCTAAAAGGCTAAAAACACTACTATAAAAAATATATAAAATAACAAAACAAGAAAATCAATAAACAAAAGTAATACTTTGGATTAGGGAAAACAAGAAGAAAATGTCAAAAACTCAAGCTAAATGTTGAGAGAGTTGCGAGCGCAAATTGAAAACACCAAATTTTTAAATATAAATGATGTAAAATTTTTTAAACAAAGATTTATAGTAAAATTTATTAAAATATATATAAATATATTATATATATATACATATGTGTATGTATAACGATATATACAAGTACACAAGTATAAGAGAATCAAGAAACCACTACGGAATCACAAGAAAAAATTAAATGAATATGAGCAAAGTGAAATGTGAAATACATTAAAAAAATACCTAAAATTTACCTAGAAACGAATTTCAGCGAAATAACGATCGAACCGGAAGTTTCACCAGCTCAAGTCAGCATTAACCGAAGCAGCAGCATGCAGTTTCTGTTTCCGGTGGCAAGCAGGTGAAGCAGTAATGATAGTGGCCCAGTATTGAGGCCAATTCAATAGCTGACTCGATAATGATTCGTTTCTATCGACTTCCTGGCGACTAGTTAACCTACTCAATACTCAATATGGTATATGGTATAATCACGTAATCAAGTAATATCCGTAAAATAAACGCCGCAGCGCAGCTGCGCCTGCGCATGTGTGTCTCGTCATTCACAAAAGCAATATGAAAATGTGGCGCGAGTTGGCTGTTTTGGTCCCATATGCTATCTAACCTATATATATATATATGTTTATATATATATGTGTAAAGATCGGAGGGAGGCGAATGCAGTTGTACAAATCGCAACTCAGCGACTCGGTCACATTCACATTCACGGAGCTGGCACGCATAAGTGCCATCACACAAGCTCCGCCACTTACAATTTACAATTTACAAAAAACACAATTTAACAAAAATATGCAAAAAAAAATACGAAACAAAAAAAAATACCCAAAGAGAATCACCCGTATTACCCAAAGCATATTCGTAACGTCTTTCGTTGCCCTTGAATAGAGTTCAAGCTGAATTAAATAAGAAACTTACAAAGATATCGATCCACAGCACAGCAACACACACACTTTGAAAGCCCACACACCATAATCAAATCTAAACGATCAGTTCAGATCCGAGAGGAGGTTATTCCATAAATGAATGTGCAATATAACAAAAAAAAAAAAAAAAACATAAAAAACAACTAAAACTCAACCCAGCAATGAAAATCATCAACTACGCATGAAATGCATTTAACAATTAAATACAACAAATACATATTTATATATATATATGTACATATAGGTATATATGTACGTATGTATATATAAATATAGGCAGATATATGTCTACTTATATGGTCAGGATAGCCCCTATAAACAGAGCAACACCAAAAAAAAAAAAAAAATGAAAAATTTGGGCCTAAAGTGCGAGAAAAACGAAGCGAATTAACAACGCCTCCCGAAGCTACACCCCAAAACCAAAAACCGAAAAAAAAACATAAACTTCCAAACATTTTTATCGATATACACTTAAAATCTAGACACGTAAGGCGATTTCATCGATAGCAATATAAGCTGAAGACAAGGGCGAAAGTGCATGCAAATTAGCGAATATATATATATATATATATATATATATATGAAACTTCAATTTAGTTTATAAGCATCGACAAAATGCGACAAAATAATGCAAATTATGAACAAAAATACGAAAAGACAAACGCCAAAAGCGAGATATTGAAGGCAAAGGACACGGTAAGCAGTGAAAGCAGTTGAAGCCACACCGGAAGATGGCCTGCTTCCTTCCAAGCAGTGACAGCTGTCGATAGACTTTTTACAAGCAGTTGACAGCAGCAAGAAAATTTCTTTAAAAAAAAGTGTTGTATAACTTGCTTTTAAAACAAGCAAATAGGTTTAAAAGAATATAAAACTAAAAACTGCAACAATAAGGAGACAAATTAAAAAACCAACAAAACTAATATACGTAGCCGCTTTGTCAGACGGAACGCGCCCAAACCAAACTAAGTAACTAAGTAAACAAAAACAAAACATTGCAAGAATATTTAAATCATATGCATAACGGCTTATATATATATATATATATACATATATATATAAGCCAACTATATATAGATATATATATATATAAATATATATATATATAGATATATATATATATATATATATATATATATATATATATATGTGAGCGTGTGCAAGATCTCGATGATGTAAAAAAAAAACAAAACAAAAAAAACATTAAAATCGGAACTCAAACTTTAAACTTAATTAATTAATTATCCATTTGATTGTGTATGCTAATTATGATTGTCTATAGCGTATCGTACAGATATACATACATATATACTTTTTGTGACAAGGTCCAAGGTCAGCACCTAATTATGCATTACCTTGTATTGGTATTTACCCAATTAGTTTAACCATATACCGCATACTTACTTACCTTACTTTAAATGTGCTTACTTACATTTACTCACTTTTCGATATTGTATTCGTAGCCCCCTTGAGTAGAACTATTTAAATTTATTTGTACACCCCAACAAAGGAGAAAATATTAAAATAAACTACATAAAACCTCACACACATCCTCCTACACCCCACACTCCGACAACCAAGAAAATAAAACTCACAACAGCCGCCCAGCAGCTAAACAAAAAATGCTCTAACTTAACATATTCCATACCATATAAGGTATTTATATATTTAAGTTTTCAAATAAATCTACAGAGTGTTTCGATAATTTAATCACATTCGAACTCAACAGGATAGAAAAAGGAACACTCTGTGAATTTATTCAGGACTCGAGTACATATTTCTGGACTTGAATGTATTTACCATAAATATAGCTAACAACTAACAAGCACACGAAACAAAAGACACTCACACCCACACACACACCCACACACATACACCCACACAGTGAAGAAAACGATACTGAGGTGACACAAATTTAGATGCATATTATTATATAACTTATATTGAAAAAAAAAAAAAAACCAAAAGCGACAAGCGATGAAAACGTAAATTTTACTATACTCGTACATATAAATTATATAAATGTATGTAAATTATTATTATATTTGTATTTTATTGTACGTATTAGTTTTGTTCTACGCTCTTTTGCTCTTTCATAAATGAAAATCCAAACATAAAAAAACGAAATCCAAACGAAAATCGATAACAAAACCAAAAACCAAATAAAATAAAATAAAAAGCCGGCAAGCAATGGTATACAAAATAAAATATGACAAAACGAGACAAACAAACAAAAAAAATCTACAAAAAAATGAAATAAAATTGAATTAAAAATTTACCAAAAAAATAACCGATTTGTTTTAATTTGGTGAGAGGAAAACACTTTAGATTGCAGTTAACATGGTTTATTTTCTACACAAGTGCATTTAAATATCATAAATATATGTATATCATAATATATTATATGCTTTTATAAGATAGCTAAAAAAAACATCTACTGTTTCAGAACATTTCACATATATTTGGGTATCTTTATCAGTATATATATTTATATATTTTCGAGATAGTTTTTAGTAGACTGGAGTACGTATGTTTGTTGTACTTGGTAAATCTTTTTTCAGTTGGACGCATATTTGGCAAAGACTGAAAGAACACCTGAATTCGGTATCTTTATAATTTTGTTTAAATCTCATCAATTTTTACTCTGGATATGGTGGTATATTTAGGGATAGCTTTTTGAAACCTATCATTTATACAGGTAAATTCTTTGGGCCGCACTTACTGGTTGTACATAAATACGCTTGTAACATTTAATAACCCTTATATATAGACGTTAACTTTATAATATGTTTCGACAGATCCTAACTTCCATAGGTTTTCATCAAGTTTTCTTAAATATTCTTCAGAAGTAGAAATTAAAGAATGCATAGAATTAAATGCATTAAAGCCTTGAAGTTCGGAAGTACTTTTGTTACCTTTAAAGCCATTCTTTGGGAATTATTCAAGCTGAGATGAATGGATTCAATTAACATTTGGGTGAGTATATTTTCACGGGCTTACTTTGCTTATATTTTCAGGAAGTTAACAATACAAAATAAACAATAAAAAAAGAAAAACTCAATAGCTTTTCAAAATCTTTGCTCTGCTATGCGGTCAAGATTTCGATCGATCCTTGAGCGATACACTTTAAACGCCCAGCTCTCGGCTGGGCGTGGTGGTGGCCATCTGTCCAGTATTACTCCCGGCCGGCGGAGGAGCCACCACACTAGGCAACCACTTGTTAAGCAGCGTACGAATGGCAAAAGTCACATCGTGATTAGCGAAACAGAACAGGAAGGATACTACAAAGCCTTGAAGGCTGACCAGAACAACTGAGAGCAGCTGATAGAAGCGATCCAGCTGGGTTCCGGCATCCGGACGATAGGGGAGCAGGAAGTGCTGAAGTCCAAAGAGCGGCACCAAGATGATAGTGGCACGCACTGCCTTCCGGATGGCCAAGGGAGCAGGTTGTGCCGACTGTGGATGAAGTTTACGCACAATCACCCGGAGGACATTGATAAGGAAAACTAAATTTGATAGGGAAATTCAATGTTAAGATCGAAAACCAATGATATTTTTAATACTTACTAAAGCTGGCCAGCAATGAGAGGGTTATTGGCACCGAAAAGATCCACAGGTAGAGGCTATCATTGATCCAGCAGCTAAGTAATTCAATAAGATAATATTAATTAATAATTATCAAAATTGAGGACACTCACTGTTCATTGTCCGAGTCGCTGAAATGTCTGGACAGGCCATAGACAATGGCAAAGTGTATGGGTGAAAACCAACTGATGATGATGAACCAGCGCATCACAATTGTATCCTTGACAAAGACCTAAAGGTAGAAGGAAAACGACAAACGAGTCCTTGACAATATGACGGAAAGCAGTTTGCCAAAGTTACGACTGGGCTGGCTCTCACATAAATTGGAGGGCGAGAACAAATCACATCTGCCATGCACAACACTCGGTCGTAAAGTATGCAAAATTGCCACGAGACCAAAAGGAGCGCTACAGGGAACCTTGCCTGCCATCGACTTACCACAACGAGGACCAAATGCAGGTGCAGTCCCTCGCAGAACATCCAGAAATAATTGACCAACATGAAATAGTGCACCACTAGGTGTAATCCGATGCACCAGAGCTGAAAGCATTTCGTAACGTGAACATGAGAAGGTGGTTAGGCAAATGGCATTATCACACCTTGACAAAAACAGCATGGAAGGTTATTTGGTAAATGCACTTCGCAAAAAAATATATCATTTGGATGGGTTTTCATTACTGTTAATGTAATATAAGAAATTCGTACTCATTTCATATAGGGATTCTCTTCAAATTTGATTTATTTATGAAGTTATTTAAATATTTTTTTAATACTATTGGCCTAGTTTTTTTCTCCCTGCACAACTCACCGGATTGTCGGCTATGATTTCGGGTCGTTCCACAACCAGACGGTACCACAAAATCCAGGCCACACAGGTGAAGGCCAGCGAGGCGAACAAGTGCACATGAATCCGGATGCGGGTGCAGCGCAGAGATCTACAAAATGGAAAGACAGGAAAACCAGTCGCATTTCCAGTTACATTTCCACTTGCAGTGGCATTTTGCAGCTTCCTAAACACTTACTTGAAGCCCAGGAAGATGAGAATCGATACAAGGAGGGCCAGAAGGGAGAGGACATAGCCCTTTACATACAACTCGTTGATAAACTGACGGAACTGCGGTGGCAACTTTTTTGATTAATGTTCCATTGCAAACCTCTTAGCTGTCAGCAAAGCACTTACCTCGAGGTCCTCGTAATCCACGCAGTTGGTGTAATTGGACCACGTCTGATTGCTCATTGGATGACGGAACCAGGAGCCATTTTCCAGACAGCTGCAGATAAAGAATAAAAGATAATTGTGACTGACTAAGTGCAAGTAAAAACAAGAAAGGAAGCTAACTTCGGCACGCCGAAGTTTATATACCCTTGCAGATAGAACTTCTATGACTTGGAATCCCAACAATATAAATTATATTTATTTGTGTTTAAAAACAATGAAGTAATACCTGCTTTCATTTCATTCACCTATACATATTATATTTGCAGTTTTACATTCGCAGATTTGCATTTTTCCTCTACATCTAACAATCGTTTGTATGGCACCTATATGATATAGTCGTCCGATTTTCATGAAATTTGACACAAAATTTAAGACTAATATAAAATGGCAATACCTCAAATTTGATGAAAATCAGCTGAAAAAGTTATTTAATTGTATTAATTTCCCGATCGTTCCTATGGGAGCTATATGATATAGTAGTCCGATTTTCATAAAATTTTATACAACATTGTAGAGTATAGTAAAATGGCTATATCTATATATAATTATATATATATATATTTGATCAAATTCTGTTGAAAACTGAAATTGTTATAATTTTTTTTGTAAAAATTACCCGATCATTCCTATGGCAGCTATATGATATAGTCGTCCGATCCGGCCCGTTCCGACATATATACGAGTGAGACTATATAGAAGGCTAACTATAAAGTTTCATTCAGATAGCTTCAAAACTGAGAGATTAGTTTGCTTAGAAACGGACAGACGGACAGACGGACAGACGGACAGACGGACAGAAGGACAGACGGACATGGCTAGATCGACTCGGCTGTAGATCCTGATCAAGAATATAAATACTTTATATGGTCGGAGGTGCCTCCTTCACTGCGTTGCAAACTTCTGACTGAAATTATAATACCCTGCAAGGGTATAAAAAGATTCTAAGCCTAACACGAGAGGAGTTAACAAAAACCCAACTAAATTGCCAGAATATCGTTTGCAAAATATATATACAATTTAAGCAGAAATATTAATCATAAAATACATTGAATTAAATAAGCATAATATTTCCGTATGAATGCTTAAATAAATGAATTAATGAATGCTAATCTGAAGCTGAAATGCACTAAATAAATCGTATCTAAAACCTAAAAAATCTCCAGCCTTAGTCAATCCCCTCGAGAGAGGTTAATGCTGTGCCATTTTGGGCATTTAACTCACGTCTTGTGGGCCAGAAATTTGCTGTTGAATCCCTCAACGAAATCGGGACAATATTGACTCAGCACGGTGCCGGCCGGGGTCCTCGGCCAGCAGAGATATCCGTCAAAGTTCAGGGGACAGAAGAGTCGCTCCCCGGCACTGCGATTGTTGGTGGTGGTGACCTCGTGGTGCTCGCTCTCCTGCTGATTTGTGGCCATTGTGACGCTGAGAACGGTGGCCAGCAGCTCCTCCTTCTCCGCCAGCTCCACATCCACATTCCGCATGTCGATGGCACCCTCATTCAACACAGCGTTCTCCAGATATCGCGGCACGGGACTGAAGTTCTCTGGCAATTCTGACTCGTAGTCTGTGCACGTCGAGAAATTACAATATTATTCATAGGGGTTTCTTATGTAATTTGTGAAGCCGGTTTAAGTGCACCCTATTAGTCAGTAATTTAAAGGGCACAATTTTGATGATTTAAAAGGTTTATATGTGCTCTGATTGGATCTATTTATTTTCTACAAAACAACTATATTTTAGATTTTAAGCAGACAGGAAGGGTTTTAGTTTTGTTGTAATTATAATGGTTATTCAAATTATTATTACTTTAAAGTGATTACTAATGTTACTTAGTACTACTGTTGTATGTGTCTGAGTTATTGGCAAAATAATAATGTAGCATTATTCATTGTTTAAATAAGTTCCAGAAAAAAACAATTTAAAATATTTGTTATTTCAAATCATTAATTATTTAAAAAGCACACCCCTCTTTTCGATAATCAAATGCATAAATTAGTATCAGATTTGCCAAGTTTTATTAAAACTTCTCCTTTCTGTGCATTGGATGTTTTCATATTTTCTCTATGAACGCTCGTGATATGTGGCATATGGCATGTGGCAAATCACGTATCCGCCATGGTGGCCGCCACTCACCTGTTGCTGCCGCCCCATCAACTGACACTGACGGGTCGTCGTATGTGTCGTTTTGGTATCGGTACACGCACTCGGCATACAAATGCCTTAAAAATATGCGCAGATTATCCTGCGCCTGGGTCTGCGAGGACGACTGCTGGGATCCCGACGCCTTTGCCATGGCCATTGCCACATTTTCTAAACCCAAACCTGAATCTAAATCCAAGTCTGAAGCGGTTGTCCCCATCGTTGGTGGTGTATCCTCAATGCTCGCCATGGGAGAGTGTACTGCAAAAAATCGGTATGTTTTGCATAAAATATTGTTTACTTTCTATACCCTATACAGGGTATTATAATTTTACAACGAAGTGAAGAAGTCATTTCCGACCCAATAAATCATATATACTCTTGATCAGCATCAACAGGTAAATAGGGAAAGGACACATGTTATATCGTTAAAATTTTCAAAAATTTATCAATCTTTTAAATTTTAAATTTGTTACGGATATTTTTTAATCTAACAAAAACTAGCGGAGAAATGTGTTCCAAATTAAAATTAATGGATTTATGCCAAAGTTATGAATTGCTTAAGCATTGATGTTTTCAATAAAGTATTCATATTAAATATCTAAACTATATAAATATAGTAGTCCGATTTTCATAAAATTGTATATTAACATATAATAACTATATATCAAATTTGATGAAAATCTGTTGATAACTGGAAAAGCTAAAATCTTTTTCTTTAAACTTTCCGATCGTTCCTATGGCAGCTATATATTTATATATACATAGTCCACAGATTCGCCACGCTCCGACTTATATACTAGTTAAATTATATAGAAGAATAACACCGTAGTTTTATTAATTTATTCTTAAATTGGTTCAAAACAAGTCTCGCACATCTGTGCATATGATTCCCAACTAGTTTTAACATCCCCGGAACGAAGTGACTGCTGCTGGCCAAGTATCAGAAATGAGTTGTGTTACAAAATTTGCAAGTCATTGTTTATTAGTGTTCAGAGTTAGTAACTGATCATACATACTTATTGGTCATAGATACCTTCTGATCTTAGTTACTTACTGGGCAAAGATACTTACTGTTCAGAGGTGCTTACTGGTCATAGATACTTACTGCTCAAAGTTACTTAATGGTCATAGATACTTACTGATCATAGTTAATTACTGATTATAGTTACTTAATGTTTAGAGTTATTTACTAATCATAGTTACTTACTGTTAATAGATACTTACTGATCATAGTCATTTAATGATCATACTTACTTACTGCTCATATTTACTTAATGCTTATAGTTACTTCATGTTCATAGTTTCTTTATGTTCATTGATACTTATTGATCATAGTTACTTACTGGGAAAACTCTTCAAGATATAAATATTTTTAAGATGCTATGTAAATTATTCTCGAAACTATGTTCATTTTGGCTCAGTGTTTTGAGCCAGCGGAATAGGGATAGCGATAGGGAATTGAAGTCGCTTGTGGCTGTCCATTCGTGTGTGCATTGCTAATTTGGTTAGGCTTCAAAGAGTTCAGTTTAACTAAGGCGAGCTGCTGCGTGCCTGAGTTTGGTTGATAGCTCGGTAAAAGGTGTAGGGTGTAGGGAGGAAAAAAAAAACTCCGACACAGTCCTTTTTGGAACCCCAAACGTCAAGCACGGTCCACGAATGGGGACCCTATCCTCTCATATATATATATTACATATGTAAGTGCACCTCCACTAGTCATACGTTATAAATCAGTTTATAGTCTAATTAATGGCGGTGCTTAAATGTGGAGGGGAAAACTTAATTGCATTTCGTCACAAAGGGAAAGCAAATGCCACGGGCAAACTGAAATGAAATGCATGGCGCATCGATCGAATATACTATATCCCCTACAGAGGGAAGCACAGAGCGAGGGAGCACATGTGGCACGGGATGAGCTGCAAAGTTCTTGCCTAACTTGGTTATATTTTTAATCAAAACTCATTTCGCTTGATTGAGTTTCAACAAAAGCCCAGAAGCACATACATAATACACAGACAGAGAAGGAGGTGGATTTACCATGCCGTGGAACAAACTTTAATTTGCGGTATTAATCTATTATACGGCATTGGACAGTTTTCATGATGGAAATGTGCGCTGGCTAAAACATCTTGCCTGTTATTTATTTTTGCAAGTGTCTCGGCCAGGCAATTAGTCCAGGTAAGCAGGAAAAACCTTAGAAGGTCAGAGGAAAGCATGAGAATGAAGTTTGTTTTTGTTGGACGTCGCTCGAATGCCAGGATACTCTGGGATAAGTAAATGTTGGATTAGTTTTGGTGTAATTTTAGAGTAGGTTTTGAAATAGCTTTATGAGAGGAGTATTGTTGGAATTCTTTGATAAAAGAGTAGAGCTAATGTTACTTTGGTTTTAGGTAAAAATATTAGTAAAGCCTTGTGAGAATATTATTGAAGAGTTGCCGTATTTTTAAAATGGTTTATTTTGAAATTTTAAAACGGCTGGAAATAATTTTAGTGGTTTTTGATATTAATTTAAATAGTTTATTGCATTACTGTTTTAAATTAAAACCTAATTTCTTTAAAGCTATCAAGGCGTTGTACAATTTCCATGACGAAAATTGCGCTGTCCCAACATGCTTACACGTTATTTATATTTGCAAGTGTCTTGGCCAGGTAATTAGCCCAGGAAAGGAGGCAGGGAAGCACAGGAAGGTGGAAAAAAAGGGAATGTGGGCAAGTTTTGTTGGCCATCAATTCAAAATGCCGCCGGACCCGGACTCCTGTCGTGTCTTCTGCAGCCCTAATGAGCATTAATTGCATTTATATGAGTCCTTTATGGGCGAGTCCTGTGGCCACTGTTAAATTAAATTCATTGCAATGTTTTCCCTTTATCATCTGTCTCCTTCCTCGAGGCGTGCTTTGAGATAATAGATAATACATACAATGGTAATTGAATTTACATTTGCCCGGAGGATTCATGCTTATTCAACTACATATTCCATTTGTCATGTCATCTTTATCAGTGCGTTGCATAATCACAAAATACTGATAATGAAAGGAATCCTTAAAGTCTCAAGTCCTTGTCATAGTTATGCAGATGCTGGGTTAGGGAGGACGATGGTCTGTCTGTCTGTTGTTTGAAGCATCCATAAAACACAAATAATTGGAAAACGTTTGCTTGCATAAATTATGCTTGAAATTGAAATTTATTGTCAACAATTGGGAGAAAGGAACGAGAACTCTGGTCGCAGGACCCCCGCTGCACAGGATACAAATGGCCAATCAATTTGGGGGCGGGGGAAAGGACCCAGAGGGGATGTGCTGGCGGAGGAATAATTATATGTACACATGCTGAATATTGATGATGAATTGTTTTGTCTGCCGAGCCGAAAAAAAAAACCCATCAATGCGGTTAATGATGCTGCTCCTGCTGGTGGCAGCTTTTTTGCTCCCAACCGGAAACGGAAATGCCACACACTCACGCCTAATGGAAAATGCCAATGTGTAATACTTGTAATATTGTATTATTTTCGGTTTTTGTTTCGTCTATTTTAGTCCTGCCTCTCTGTGCAATTATCATAATAAATGACAGAGTCGGAGTCCACGCAAATAATGCAATTATGTACGCCGACTGGCCATGAATACCCTCGGAAGCTGGATTATCCCAAAAGTTGCTAGCCTTGCGAAATTATTGCACCCATTTCCTGACAATCACTGTAGTGTTTTGTGTCGTGTACCGCAAAACTTTTCGCATAAACCCCCAGCCCAGTGAGTGAGAGAGAGTACTCGTAATTATATGGTCATCAACAGAAACAGTAGCAGAGCCAGGAATCTAATTAATTAATTTGTGTTCGCTACGCCACTATATAATTCAGTTGTTTACTTGATTGAATTGCCTGCAAATGAACGGCGGGTCTCGTGCGGCGTCTAAATTATGCGAAAATATTTTCGGAAATATTTTCAGAAATATTTTCCAGAACATAAGTATATATTTTGCACCTGATATTCACATCATTCTGTGATGAGAAGTTCACAACAGATCGCTTACATTGAGTGCCTCGCATTAGGTTCATTCACTCGCTGGCCATTCATTTAAATTGTTCAATTTGAAAAGAATCACGTACTTTAACAAGACCAAAACAATGTATTGAGAACGCACGCAAAAAAGAAACATACGCGTACCGTTATCAAGCGGTAAAAGCTGCCGCTTTTCACTTTTCACTTCTCGCTTTTCACTCCGCTTTTCTGTCCGCTTTTCACTCCGCTCGGCTCTGCGTTCCGCTGCCAAGTGGCCAGGCATCCGGCAAAAAGAGCCTGCCCTTGCTCTCGCATTTTCCCATTTTCCGAAACCCAGCCAGCCACCCATATTACACTGAGAGAATTTCGAGGTTTTACTAAACAAAACAAAGGCATCTCAAGAAATTTAATAAATTATCTTTAAATTACTTTATATGCATATCGCTCTAAAGATACTGTTATGTACCTTTAAACTTTATAAATTTATTTATTTACCTTTGCATATTTATTTATTAAACTATAAATACTTATTTATTTAATATTAAATATTTATTGTAAAAGATTTAAATTATTTGACAGAATACGTTACAATGATAACTATTTGACTTCTAAGTAAAATAAATAACTTTTATAGCTTTATTTGTAGTTTGCAAGTACAAACTGGGTTTGACTTTTTTCTCAGTGCATTCGCACTGCTTGCTATCACTCATGCCCCCCCCCCCTCTTGTCCAGACACTGCTTGAGCAGCAACAAGTTGTTTGGCTGGCCTGCTTTCCTTTGTGGTGTTCGCTCGTAAATGTTCTATGTGGTGGGCGTATTGTATGTATAACAGTTGGCTTAAGGATGGCGAGGGGGCGTGGCTACGCTTCCACAGATGGGACACAAGAATTGTTTGGTTTCAAATGTAGTTGGTGAAATTACCTTAACCCAAGGCAGAAGCACAGCGAGATTTAAATGTTACATATTTCTGTTGTACAACAATTTAATAGAGTGTATACAAAAGTATAATTATTTTAGATAGAAAAAGGTTTTATTAATATTTATATTAACTAAATTCCCCAAGTATAGTGAATTTCCCATTACTTGGATTTATCTTAAAGGGTTAAGACAAAAAGAGGACCCACAAAGATGTGTTTTGCTTACTTTGAAACTGAATTTAGGGACATTTGATGCGGTTGCAGGTGAAGTTGATTTTATTATACGCCTTTGCCTTTAAGATCGGCTTTACTGCGTGATATGTACAAATATATAAAGTATGTATATATAATATACATACTTTTCTGTTACTTGTTTCCACTACCCTTCGATTTCTCAATTCATGCAAACTTTCGCCAGCCATCCAATTTCATAAAATTTATTCCTGAATTTCTTATGTCCTGCATAGCGAATGTTTATACGCGTCCAGTTGCGTAACGAGAATAAATATTTTATGCTACACTGGCTCTGGCTCCCGGTTGCCCTATCCCCAGTTTTTCCTGTTTCCTCTCAAGCATTTTCCTCTTCGGAAGAAATTGGCATCGACTTGGCACTTGTGCTGTGTGACTCGGCGAGAATTTAATATAAAATGCATTTTGCAATTAGCAGCGTTTTGAGGTCTCAAATTCCTGGGTATTAAGTCGGAAATTCAAAGCAAAATAAAGGGAAATGCTTTGGTAAAATCCTTTTTAATTTCTTTCGTTGTACTGGGAAATATATTTATTTAAACTCAGGAGAATATTAGTTAGATCCACATTTATAGTTATGTTGCACACATGTGCTTTAATTTTCTTAGACTTATAGTAGCCACTTTTTGAGCCATACTTCAAAGAACCTCCAGTAATCGCAGAGAGACAAGGAAAAGATATAGCCATTATCACCGACTGACTTCTATCTAAATAAAGTTTAAACACAATCTGGCTCCAGAACGTAAAGAGAGCGCTTAAGGTGCTAGTGCAAGTGTTTAGGCCACGGCCAAGACAACAAGTTTTTATTAGGTAATAGCACAGCGCATGGCACACATCGTCAAGTGCCACGTTTCGGTTTGATAACAGAGAGAGCGGTCTTAAAGAATAAACATATTAAATAATTATGTAGGTAAAAAAATATGAAATAATGATGTAAAGTCCGCTATCACCTGCACGTTCGGCGTGGCCGTTCGCTGACCCATAAAAGCTGGGATCGCTGTGGACAGAGGCATCAGTGCATTGGCAACATGGTTCCCTTCCAGTCTCAGTCACACTCCACCTTCGCTCCGCTCCTGGCTCTTGTCCTGGCCTTGGTCTTTGGAGGAGTTCAGGTCCGCGGCGACTATGACTGGTACGGTGATATTCCGTACTCCAGCTCCGATCTTGATTATATCTACACCGATGTCAACTACGATACAATGTGCGCGCCGAGCGGATATGGGACATGTGCCACCGATGGCTACAGTTATACCCTGTTTTCGAGCAAGTGCCTCCTGGACTCGCAGAATCTCAAGCAGCTGTTTGCCGGCAAGAAGGGTGAGTTCGTAGTAGATTTCAAGTCCTTGGATACATAGCCCCTAGGAAGTAGGTAACAGTTGTTGGTCGGGGTATTCTATGGTCGCTACTAATATTTGTAATTCATTACTTTCTCTATATAATTTGTGTGAATTTATTTTTCTAGAACTAATTGAGGTGGATCTGAAGCACTGCTCCTCGTATTCCTCGCCCTCGTATGGACCTCCTCGAGGCTATGATTCGAAGGGCAGCACCTCAGCCCAAGGATATTATTCTCCTGCAGCTGCTCCTCCTTTTCAGTATTCCTCGCCTTTAGCCCAAAATTCGTATGCCTATGCAGTGGCCAGTGGTCCTTATGGCGCCAAGGCTAGCGCCGAGGCTCCTGGGCCGCAGCCAGTTGCTCCTGCTTCCTATTCGGTGTCTTACTCTGCTCCCTCGTCCTACCCTTCGGCTCCTTCTTCGTATCCTGTTTCTTATCCTTCTGCACCGGCTTCCAATCCTTTGGTTCCTGCTTCATACCCTTCATATCCCTCTGCTCCTTCGGCTCCCTCTTCGTATCCCTCGTATCCCAAACCAGTTCTGGTTTACTCGAGTGGCATAAACGCCTATGCCGCAGCATATAGTCCTTATAGGACCACTACCCAGGCGCCATCTAACGGAACCACAGTATCATCGGCCACCACAGCCACCACAAAGGCCAGAGGATATCCTGCTTATCCTGTATATCCGACGACAACTGCAGCAACTACTGTGTCCACCGCTGCACCAACTACTGCGTCCACCGCTGCACCAACTACTGCGTCCACCGCTGCACCAACTACTGCGTCCACCGCTGCACCAACTACTGCATCCACTCCTGCACCAACTACTGTATCCACCGCTGCACCAACTACTGCATCTACACCTGCACCAACTACTCCATCTACCTCTGCTGCAACGACTGAAGCAACATCTGCTGCAACGACTGAAGCAACAACTGCTGCATCAACTGCTGCAACATCAGCTGCAACTACTGATGCAACTACTGCAACAACTACCACAGAAGCACCCACTGTAAGCATACCCCCTTGAAGACCCAACCAAACCCTCACCATAACCTTTCTCTTTTTCCACAGGGCGGTTAAGGAATCCCCAAGATGAACACCTCAACTGGAAAATTTATCAACAACATCACCAGAAATTAGTACAGAAAACTAAAACCTATCCAGAAAAACCACCTTAAAGATCCCGATCCCATAGCTTAAAGACATCACCACAACAAAATCATAATTCCAAATCGAGCAATATGTAGTGTATCACTTGTAGTATCTTTGGCCAACAATAAATAAAGCAATCAGTACAGCACATAAACAAGTTAGGTCGATCGCATCTGGCCCTCGTTTTTTTTTTTTTTTGTTTTCAATTTTTTTGCTGCTTCCAGCTATTTAGCTGGGGAAAACCAGGCGGAAAAAGGGAAAGAAAAGTACTAATAAACTGATTTTTCAAGGGCTTCTGGTTTACAAGAAAATTTGCAATCGCTACAAGTTAAACATATATATGTATATATATATTTTTTTTAATGATAACAAAAGAGAACATGATTATGTAGAGTGTAGAAAAGAGGGAACATTGTAGCAGTTCCACAAAAAGTTCAAAGCAAAAAAATATAGTTTGATGATATAGAAATAAAAAATTATTGAGAGATAATAAAAAATAACAAAATACAAGAAAATAAATAATAATATACTTAATTAGAAATATATTTAATTTAAGAACTAGAAAGTATACTTTTTAGAAAGTCAAAGTTTGTATACCTTTGCAGTTAAAAATTTGATATATCATAACTCTGCCAAAAATGCATCAATTTCAATTCGGAAAACAGTTTTGTGCTAGTTTTTATTACCTTAAAAAACTACATATTAAATTTGATATTTAAAAAAATTACGATTTATGAAAATGTTCACGATGTAACCCCTTTGCTTTTGAACATTTTTTTAACGGAGATATCTCCGTTCCCCTGTTTATGCTGATCAAGAATATATATACTTTATGGGGTCGGACATGACTTGTTCACCTAAAATTTTGTAAAATGTAAGAAGGAAGGAATAAAATTTATTTAGAGCATGTTTTATATAGAACTAAATGTTATCCCATGTAATTTAACTAATAATAATTACAAAAGGCTTTATTCAAGTATTTTTTACAATAAATTATAGAAATAGCATAAAGAACATATATTTTATATATAAACAAGAAAGGAAGCTAACTTCGGCACGCCGAAGTTTATATACCCTTGCAGATAGAACTTCTATGAATAGGAATCCATACAATATAAATTATATATATTTGTGTTAAAAAACAATGAAGTAATACCTGCATTCATTTCATTCACCTATACATATTATATTTCGATTTTCATGAAATTTGACACAAAATTTAAGACTAATATAAAATGGCTATACCTCAAATTTGATGAAAATCTGTTGAAAACCGAAAAAGTTATAATTTTTAATTTTATTAATTTCTCTATCGTTCCTATGGGAGCTATATGATATAGTAGTCCGATTTTCATAAAATTTTATGCAAATTGTAGAGTATAGTAAAATGGCTATATCTCAAATTTGATCCAATTCTATTGAAAACTGAAAAAGTTAAAATTTGTTTGTAAAAATTTTCCCATCATTCCTATGGCAGCTTTATGATATAGTCGTCCGATCCGGCCCGTTCCGACATATATACGAGTGAGAGTATATAGAAGGTTAACTACAAAGTTTCATTCAGATAGCTTCAAAACTGAGAGACTAGTTTGCGTAGAAACGGACAGACGGACAGACGGACAGACGGACAGACGGACAGAAGGACAGAAGGACAGAAGGACAGACGGACAGACGGACATGGCTAGATCGACTCGGCTGTTGATCCTGATCAAGAATATATATACTTTATATAGTCGGAGGTGCCTCCTTCACTGCGTTGCAAACTTCTGACTGAAATTATAATACCCTGCAAGGGTATAAAATGGACAAATTTAAGCTTCAAGTTCGATATGCAAACAGACTGAAATCCGACATTAATACTGTGATTTTATTGTACAGCAAACAGCTTTAATTTCGGAAATGCGTAACTGTTAGGGATAACATTTATTCCACATGATGTTAGTGTTGTGTGTGTGTGTGTGTGTGTCCCTGGGTGTGTGTACCACTTATCAGCGCCTCTCGAAAAAAACACACACGCGAACAGGTGTTTGGCATTGTTTGCGCGCTGCATAATTTTAGCTGCGGCTTAATAGATTTTTTTCACCCTGTTTTGTTTAAACAGTTTTCCGGTTTTGTGCTCATGCTTATCTGTTGACAATAAAACGGTATTAAAAGCGCTGGAAAAATGGCGGGTCGGAAATCGGGGAAAAACAATGGAGGCCTGGGACTGGGAAGGGGGTTCTCGGGCGAAAGGCGGAGCAGCGGAAACGGAAATTAACAAATGCCCCAGGCAGCACTTGGCATGCCAAACAACAACCGCTTCGGCTAAAATAGCCATTTATATTCAAATTGTCTTAACTTGGCTCAGATTTTTGCCCACAAGCTTACCATATTTTTTGTGTCTTCTACTCGTTGTCTTTATTTTGACAGTATTCGAAACGAAGGAGAAAAAATATGCCTTAGAGGGCAGCCTTTGCACAGTCAAATGTTTAATGAGGAAATGTGTTTAATTAAATGATAAACATTTAATTTGGGTTTCCCAGTTTGCCCACGAGACTTTGTTTACTTTTTTCACTGGGACTGAAATGAAGGTTGTTTTGTTTGGGAGAATTTTTGAAGGAAAGTTGGTTTAATGAGTTAAGACATTCTATAAACAATTATATAGCATATGTATAGGGCTTAAAGTTGCTGTGACAGTTTCCTGACAGTTTCTTGGCCACATTTGCTTAGAGATATTTTCTTATACATTTTGCTGCTAATCTCTGTCAGACTTTAAAATAAAACTGAGACATACAAAAAGAAAGAAAGACTTCTCCTCAGCATTATCTAATATTTTTCATTTATCACACAGTTTATGGTTAATTTTTTTGTGTAGCTAAATTTACAGGTGTTTTTCGACTGCAACCGGGAGTGATGATAAATCGTCTGGGTCTTATCACTTTAGCATTAATCATGCAAAGGGAAAGCGACAGCTGAAGGGGTCTTTTTTGGAATCTTGAAAACTTTTTGAGGCCACAAGCCGTTCGCCATTCTGCAGCGTGTTCTGCATATTTTGTTTAAAATAATTTGTAAAATTTAATTTATTTGATTTGATTTACACCGCCAGCACCCGGCACTCCTAGAACCCATGAGTAATGTTATTTTTTGCTCCAGCAACTGCTGTTTTTTCGCTTTGCTCATTAAAAGTTCGTTGAATGGTAAATGAGTACGAAAAGTGCTGACCGAGACGTAAGGCAAAAAAAAACTGAAACGAATATAAAAAAATTTTAAATTAAAAAAAGAAAAAGACGACGTTGAAAAAAGAAGAAACCAGCTCAATTGAATGAACTCTTTTCTTTGGCACGAGGCGCCGTTTGGAAAATTTGCGGATAAAGCTGAAAGTGGAACTTGAAAGACAGCTGTCCCCGGAAAAATTCCTCAATCCCCAGCTCCCTCTCTATCCCATTGGCAGGGGATCCTAAGCCAATTATTGACATTCTATGGCAGCTCGCATAAATCAAAATTTGCACAGGGAACTTTGGAATATAAAGGAGAGCCCGGAACAAGTTGCTGCAAAAGCTGCTGTGAGCTCCTCCTGCTGCCTTCGATTGCCCGTACTTAAGATGGTTTGGCGGATTTTAATACAGGGTGAACGCCAAGAAAGAGAGGGTTTATTCGGTCTTAACTTGAACAATAATATACTAAGTTTAAAATATGTTTAATTTGCATTTTTATTTTACCACAAAATGCAAAATCGAATCATTAATTAATACAATTGCTGACTCAGTATATTTCTTATATTATTTGACAATAATTTTTTTTTACTGTTTTTTACTGTTGCATACTATTGGTTTATTTTGAATTTAATACAATTTATACACTCCAGAGAATTCAGCAATTAATTAATTAATTGATATTAATCATAATTTCATATTTTTGTGTTATTTAAGTTTTATATTTTGTTATTCAAGTCAGGAAAGGATTCTTCCTACCATTTATAAATTTGGTAAAATGAAAACAAAAGTTTTTAAATAGGTTTTAAGCAAGAAATATATAGTTTGATAAAACTAGCCAGGTAATAATTAAATCCTCTAATCTAAAATCTTAGTTTAAAGTGCAAAAATGTATATTTGACAATAACTATTATTATACTTTTCCCAAAAACAGTATCTTTTTGGTCGTAAATGCCACTTGAATATATGAGGACTCTCCCTTTTACGGGAGTTGCTCCTCTGTTTTTTTTATTATTTTAATAAATTTGAAGCGGGACAAGATTTGTGGTGGCTTAGTCGTGAGCAAATATTTTATTTAGATTTTCGGATGCCACGGTGCCACGCCTACGCGGCATAAATCAAATAGCGCTATGCATGCTTTGATTTTCATCTCCCTTCCAAATATTTTTGTTGGATTTTTTCTTTCCCTCCCTTTTTTATTTTTTGTATTTTTTGTATTTATTCTGTTGCCCCTGGAATTGATATTTATGGCCGTGAAATCGGCTTATAACATTAGCCTACGGGTTGTGTACGGCAAAGGCTATTTATCCATCGAATTGTTTACAATTGATGGAATCGAAAATCGCCACGAAATCAGATCGCACTTAACAGACAAGAACAATGTGTTGGTTATTTTTATTGGATTTAATTGCGGCAATATCTACCTGAACTCTCTGAGATAATGCCTCCATATTCCATGTTATTCTCTCGCCTCTCTGCCGGAAGCCAAAGCTCTAAGGCGTACACAATTAATGCAAAATTTATAGATGTCCGACAGCCCTCAGTCTCTCATCCAATATTCATAGATTTCCTATTAATTAGCCACCTGTCGATTAATCAAGATTAAGCCTGCTTTATTACCTCAGGTGAAATAATCGACTTGTTTTTATAAATAGCTTTCTGAAGCGGTATTTTTATGCACAATTAATTAATTAATTAATTAATAAAGCGGTGGCATCTCTCACATAACTTCATGGCAGTGTATTTGGAAAGGGTATTATGATGAGATATATGCAAGAATTAATAAATTTGTACTTTTTATGGATAATAACAAAAAAGCTTTTACTTATTAGGAAAAATAAATACAAAATTGAATTGCAAAAATTTTTTATTGTTAATTAAAGTTGGATTTGCATTTGCTTTTATTGAGAAATTTCCTTTGTACCGAAGAAAATCTAAAATGTTTGCATTTTTAAACTCATATTAATTAATATTTTAATAT